TATTAATCATTTACATGGGTGATGTATCACAGGGGTGGAACCGGTTGAGAAATATTAAAACGGTCCGGTCCGGCCGGTTGAAAAATCCTACCGGTCCGGTCCGGCCGGAAACCGGCCGGTTGGAATCACATGTCCAACCGGTGAAATTCCGGTGAAAACCGGTTAAAAACCGGTGGAAAAATGTCGAATTTTTTTTTGAAAACCGATTTTTAGAAAAAATCGCTCCAAATATGAAATAGTTTAAGGCGCATGTAAAAGACGCTCATCATAATGAATCTTTTTAAAGAGAATCTCAGGAAAAACGATTAATATAACATATGTTTTGAGCACTTTTTTACCTATTCTGACAGAAAAAACATGTGATACCTTAGTTTTTATGGTCAAAGACAAGATTAACAAAGAAGATTTTTGAAAAATTTCAACCGGTGAAATTCCGGTGTTTACCGGCCCGGTTGATTTCTTCAACCGGTCCGGTCCGGTCCGGTACCGGTCCGGCCGGACCGGTACCGGTTTACCGGACCGGTTCCAACCCTGATGTATCAGCAGTATAAAGCATAGCAATCGCTTTTTCCTAAATTATATTTCGAGTTGCAATACAAACTTATTACTTACGTAATTTTACACGCTCCATGTTTTTACTAGTGTAAAATTACTTCATTCAACATAATATTTAATACAACTTTCTCGTTCATGTAGAAATATTGATTCGTAGTCTCATGATTTTGTTTATTGCTATCCTGATGAACCTACTTCTCATCATATATATTTGACATGTGATTATTTAAACAATACCTAATCGATATTTTGATTATTTGAAACTTTCTTCGGTTGCTATAACTGATCTTTAAAGTTTACCATTCGATACTAATCAATAGCGTAATCGTAAATTGGCTTCTATCTCTCTAGAACAGATCATATGCTATCTAATAGTTTAATTAAAACACTTAAAATTCTATTAACGAACAATTAATGGATGAACTGTAAGGAATGATCTTTACTGTTTTTACCAATAAAATAGAGCTTGGCATTCGTAGTATTTTGGTTTTGATTTTTTAATGAAATTTACAATTGACATTTTTAAATTTAAAATCAGAATGTCTGAAAAAACAAGCAATAAACTTATCTAGCACTTTCAAATCAGAGAGAGAATCAACTAGCTACTAACAACAAATAGTTGGACAATCTGAAGAACAGCATCTCTATCATTCCGGCTAATTGATAGATCTGTAACTTTTCTCAAAGGAATAATTGTTTGTCTCTCAAACAATATTTCACATGAATGCCAAGACAAGAATACAATAGCCGCTCAACAGAAGATAGTAGCAAAAAAGAAAGGTTAATTTTTTTTCCTAATTGTTTTGAATTAACCTTTTCCTCAATAAAAATCGTTACATTAATTTGCAGCTCGTAGTGGACTATCAAGTAATGCAACTCTCAAGTTTTCATCTATCATGTCTTTGAGAAAAATGAAATTGTTTCTGGCATTTATTTATTTAATCTTTACCGAATGTAAAGCATTTTCTAAATTCGTTACTCGAGATGTAAGTATATCATTGCATATATGTTCAGCATTTTCCTATAAAAATTAAATTAATAAAAAACAAAGTTTTTGTTAAAAAATCTTACATTTGATACAGCATCCATCCATGTTTGTATCCATTGTTTTTGTTCATCATTTAAATCTTCACATTCATTTAAATGTTGAAAACAAACATAGGCTGTTTGTATTAAACGACGTGAACTATCAATACTATTGAATCCACTAAATAAAAAAATGATTACTTTGTTTTTATTAATTAAAAATTCAAAAATATTATTCTTGTTTTTTTTTACGTTGATCGTCGACTATTATTTGGTTCTCCATCACGTGATATGATAGTTCGTTGTCGTTCTAATTCTTCTCGTAAATGCTATAAAATATTTAAAGAAAAAATTTTCAATTGAAAAATTTTATTAAAATTTATTTACAGTAATTTCACTTTGCATTTCAATAAAACGTTGAGCATTTGGATCGACATTTTTTATAGGTTTATTTCGAATTTGACTTGCCTGAGAAAACAAAAAACAAATGTCAATTCAAATAAATTATTTTTGATCATACTCGATGTGCATATTTAAATGCATTAAGAGATTCATCAAGATCAGCAGTACATGGACTAACACCTGAAAAAGTAATATAATAATGATTAAATGAAATGACGTTTTTTTTTTACATGTAATCATTAATGTTTTAGCATTTCCACCAAGTGAATCTTTGAGTAAACGAGTTATTTTTGAATCACGATAAGGTATGTGACCACCGGTACGTTTTTTTGGATCAGATAAAGCACTGACAACATTTCCCAGAGCCAATAAACCCGAATTAATACGTATTGATTCTTGAAAACGTTCACCTGTATTTTGTGTACGTGCAACACGTTCTGAACCAGCCAAATCAACAAAATGCAGTTTAGCAGAAAGATAACTTTCTACGAAAAAGAAAAGAGTATAAAAGAATGATCTAAGATTTTTTTTTTTTGTCGGATTTTTTACCATCAAATGTTGATTGTAATGGTTTAACGAAGCCATCAAATGAAGCTTGCACAGTATTTGAATTAGAATTTTTATCATGAAGACGTTGTTCTAAACAAAAAAAAAATTAAATTATACATAAAACTATTATTGAATAAAATTTATACCAATATATAAAGTAAAAATAGCATGTGATCTTGATGATTCATCATTCATTTGTGTTGCACCAGTATGTCTAACATTAGAACCTTTTTTTAATAAACTAACAACATCATCAACTGAATGACATGTATGTTCACTTGCTCCGATAACAACTAAAAATATACTTAATTAAATATAATTGTCTTGAGAAAAAAAAAACACAACATCAAGATAAGATTATATTTACCTGTATTTCCAGCTGCATCATCTCGAACATCTAAATCTTTATCATTAACATCAAGTAAATCAATAATATCATCTTTATAGATTTCTAAATAAGATGCAGATATTGTAATTCGACAATCATGTCGATTCTAAAATAAAGTATCTATGTTAATTGTTGTAATTCTTTTAAATTATATTTACTAACTTGAACAGTATCAAATATTGTTTTAACTGCTCGTGGAATAATACCATAATCTTTTTCTCCGATTGATAAAATATTTCCACCTGACATAGTATATGTTTTTCCTGAACCCTAATTTTTATAAACAAATAATTCAATAGATAATTCATAAAAAATGTATTCTGTTACAGTTTGACCGTAAGCAAATATTGTAACATTATATCCATCAAAAACATTATTAAGCATTGGTTCAACACTTGTTCGATATAATTCTTCCTATAACAGAAAGATAAACAAAGTGTAAGTCTGAATAGTGATATATTCACTTATTTCTTTTTTTGAACACAATAGACACATTTATTTCGAGAGTAATATAACTTGAAATAATTATTTTGAAAGAGTGAACTCTCATGATTTTTCTTGAATAGTCAAATCAAGAGAGATATAGAAAGCTGCAGAAGTCTTAAGATTTATTCTGTTTCGTAGCAGGAAAGCTGTTTTTTTTGTTCGTAATACTTTCTGTTTTCAATTTTACGCTTTTTCAAAAGAGAGTTGAGTCAGTCAAGTCGGATTTCACTTGACTTGATCAGTTTCCGTTTTTCTTTTCATTCTATTCAGTTGAGAGTGAATCGTACCGAAGGCACATGTCACCTCGACACATGAACAGATCATCATGACGCAGTGAACTAGTATCTTCTTAGAAACTAACACTGTTTTAAACTGCTTTCAAGATAAATACACCAATAAAATATATTTAATTAAAGAGAAACTTTGGTTAATACTAGGAGTTCACGTTTAAGTCTCTGCTTACCTGTAAAGTTTTTGGTCCAAAAACAAAATCATATTTAAATGTTCGTCTATCTCCTAGTACAATTTGATTAGTTTGTGGATGAATAGCAATACAACTTTTTTGTTCATGTGTTTTTTCTCGTTGTAAAAATGGTCGAACCTAAACATGAATTTTTGTTTTTGAAAAAAAAAAACAAATAGATTTAAAAGAATTCAAGCTGATGTAACTTACACGAACAGCTACTTTAACACGAAATTCGGATTCGCTAGCAAGCATTTTCATTTCATCTACAAGTTTATTTCAAAAAAAAAAGAGAAGAAAAAGTATGATTAAAGAAAAAAAAAACTTGGATTAAAATTATATTTGAGAGAAAAAGTATCTTTTTTCTTTCACTTTTATTGTCCACGTTCTCCATTTTCATATTTTTGTAATTTTTCTTTTAATATTTCATTTTCTCGTACTAAATCATCAAGTTTTTCACGCGTAGCCATTATTTCAGTTTTTAATGTTTCTATTTCAGCTGAATCAGGTCCACTTGCGCCCATAAATCGTCGAACAAATTCTGTTGCATTATTTGGTTTTTCAGCTTCTTCATATAGAGCAACTAAAGCTCCTAGAAGAATAATAGAAAATTAGAACAATATGTACAAAATTAACGAATAAACACACGTGTAATAGCATCAACAACACCACCCTTTTCAAGATAACGACGAAATTCTTCACGTTTTGATTCATTTGGACGATAAGTTGATGTCATTGTTCAGTTTTACTTAGTTAAAACTAAACAAAATAAATAAAGAATAAAAAAAAAAAAGAAACTTCTTACAATTGACAGAGCATTAAGTTTGTGAGTTGCTTAGCAACTACATCTATGTGACTCATTTGAATCAAACATCACATTAATGCATTTAAGTGATATTTAAATATATTAATCGAATAAGATAAAGAAAATAAATAATTTTTCGTTTGAAATATAATAATTAAGTTTTATTTATTATTTAAGAAAAAGATTCAAATGAACTCATTCCATATTTTACCATAGTGAGCCAATCATAGATTTCAGTTCGCTTATTAGTATAACGAAGCGTACTTGATGAAACATGATGTTTTTTTCTAGATCGATTTTCATTTCCATCTCGATATTATTCGATCATGCGTCCCATCAAAGCTCGTGAACAACTCACTATACCAGATGACGGTATTTTCTTTCGTTATTTAAAAGAAAACGTTCATTTTCGTGTTTTTGTTTTCTTCAAAATTTAGTTAAAGTCAGTGTAAAAAGTCGTGTTGTTCAAGTAGAAGGCAAACGAGGCAAACTTGTACGAAGTTTTCGTCATGCTCGTGTTGATATATCAATGCCAAAAAAGAATTTACTTGTTGTTGAAAAATGGTTCGGTACAAATAAGGAAAATGCTGTTGTGCGTACTATTTGTTCTCATATTAACAATATGATGAAAGGTGTTACAAAGGTTAGTTTTAAAACATGATTTCTTCTTTTTGAAAGAATGAACTAGATCCTTAAAAGATTGATCAAAATATGCTTAGACTTAGATGCAAAAGATTAGATCTACGATATTAAAAGTTTACAGTCACGAATTTTTGAATAAAAAAAAATCAATAATTTTTATTTTTTTTATTTTTAGGGTTATTGTTACAAGATGCGTTCAGTATACGCTCACTTTCCAATCAATACTGTTGTTACCGACAATGGTCAAGCAGTTGAAATTCGTAACTTTTTAGGTGAAAAATTTGTTCGTCGTGTTAAAATGCAACCAGGTGTTAAAGTATCTGCTAGTACAAAACAAAAAGATGAACTTATTTTAGAAGGCAATGACCTTGAACTTGTATCACGATCAGGTAAATACAATTTTGTTTTGTTTTTTGTTTTCTCTAAATTTAAATTGTTTTATTCTTATTTAAAACTATTTTTAGCTGCACTTATTCAAATGTCAACAGCAGTTAAAAATAAAGATATTCGTAAATTTCTTGATGGTATCTATGTCAGCGAAAAAGTAACCGTCGATGAAGCGTAAATCTATAACGTGCACTTGTTTTTATGATCATTAAATTCACATTGTTTTTTTGTGTGTATTTATATGCGCGTTATATAATAAACAAAAAAAAAAAAAGAATTGAAAGATCAAGAAAATAAAAAGAATCAAATTTGTTTTTTTTTTCTCTTCTTAATTTCATTTCCACTTCAGACAAACAACATGTTATTGATGTAAAAAAAGAATCCATTGCGATGAACGATCCTTCTCCTGATCTAATAAAAGATGCAAATATTCATTATCAGTTAAATGAAAGTCATCTTTCTTATAAAGAACTTTTTCGTCATCTTGATAAAAATCAAGACGGGCGAATTGAAGTTGATGAACTAATTAAATTATTAGAACAAGTTGGTGTTGAAACTTCAGCAAAAAACCGTTGGGCTATTGCACGTGTAAGTTATTTCTTCTTTATTTTTCTAATTGGATAAAGTAATTTCAATTTTACTTTTTATTCATAGCGGATTATTGATCAGGCTGGTGGATCACCAACAGCATCTTCTCTTTCATTTAAACAATTTGCTAATTATGTTTTAAAACAAGAAAAAAAACTTTGTCTCGTTTTCAGAAAATTAGATGCCAGTCATCAGGGTATGTAATGAAGAAAATGAAAAATAAAAACAAAAGAAAAAGAAAGATTTTTTTATTGATTATGAAATTTTCTTTTATATTTAGGAAGATTTGATGCAAAAGATTTAGTTTTTTATTTTCAAAAACTTGGTATTAATCTTGATTTAGAAGAAGCAAGTAGATTAGTCGGAAAGTAAATAGAAATAGTTTTGAGATTTTTTCTAAGATAAATTGAGTCTTTTGTTTAGAATGGATCAAAACAATTCTTTAGAAATTTCTTATGACGAATGGCGTTCTTTTTTCATGGTTAACCCTGCAATACTTGAAAGTATTACTGGCGATCCAAATGAAATGCTGAGATATTGGCGTGGAGCAACGGTTTGTTATTGAATCTTTTCGACAAATAAGGAAACGACTTATTCTATTCTTCTCTCTATTTATTCTATTAGCATCTTGACTTGGGTGAATCATCATATGCTGCACCGGAAGATGAAGAAACCGAGAATAAACATTGGTGGAAACATCTTGTATCCGGTGGCTGTGCTGGTGCTGTATCACGAACAGCTACTGCTCCATTTGATCGACTGAAAATCATCATGCAGGTATGTGGCTTAAAAATATTTCACACGCACTACCTATTTCACCCGCTATGATTATACAAGATCGGTGAATATTGTTAGGTTTCTTAGTATTTGGGTTCAAGACAACGCATGTCTGTGATAAATAGTTATCGATATTTAATCAATGAAGGTGGTTTTAGAAGTTTATGGCGCGGCAATGGAATGAATGTTCTCAAAATTATACCTGAAACAGCACTTCGATTTGCATTTTTCGAAGAAGTAACATAGTTTTCTATAATATTGATTTTTTTTTATTATAATCGATTAATAGACTTTTTTTTATAGACAAAAAAAGTTGTAAAAAGATTTCAAAATAAAGATCTAACAACAGAAACAACAATTTTGGAAAGATTTATATCAGGAGCTTTTGCTGGCGCTCTTTCTCAAACTGCTGTTTATCCATTAGATGTAAGTATTTTTCTTTTGTTTTGTATTTTTTTTTCTTATTTTCGAAATTTAGGTCTTAAAAGTAAGACTATGTCTAAGGCGAACAGGTGAATTTTCCAATTGGGCAGATGCTATTCAACGCATTTACAGATTCGAAGGTTCAAAAGCTTTTTGGCGTGGTTATGTTCTCAATCAAATTGGTATAGTGCCTTATGCTGGCTTTGATTTAGCATGTTATGAAGTGATTTTATCAATATTTCATGTTTTCTAAAAATTTTTGTGTGAATATTTAGAGTCTTAAACGTCTCTATGTAACTAAACATGATAATTGTGAACCGCCGATATATATAGTTCTTAGTTGTGGTGCTATCTCATCATTTACTGGTCAAATGGTAACTTATCCCATATCTCTATTAAGAATACGTCGTCAAGGACAAATTGTTCCATTACCACATATGGATCAAAGTAAAGCCCATCCATTATTACCTGTTCCAACAGTGATAAAAGAAATTTGGCATAATGAAGGACTTGTTGGTTTCTATCGTGGTTTAATACCTAATCTATTAAAAGTAGTTCCAGCTGTTTCCATATCATATTCAGTTTATGAAACAGTTTTAAAAACTCTTTCAAATGAAAAACAGTAATCAAAAAAGAATTGTCTTTCCTTATATAATAGGTTAATTTCTTCGTATATCGAATAGTTGTTTTTGGTTTGTTTGTTTTTTTTTGTGAACATTTATTTATTTTTTTAATCAGTATAAAAGCTGGCAAAAAAATCAAGGCGAGTCATGAATTCTTTGCAGATGATTTATCAAAAACAATTGATTGATCTATTTCAAAAACGTTCAATTCAAATAACTTTATCATTTGTACGTTATGCAAGACCATTTAAAAAGAAATGGGTACTATTGAATGAAATATTTTGATATATCAAAAGTCGCTTTTTTTTTTCCTATTCAAGATGTTTTCATCACATCATGGTTCACATTCAAATGAACTTGCTTTAGAATATTTTGATTTTGCTTATCCATTAATATTTCATCGTCATTGGCCATCTATACGTCTTGCTTTACTTAGTTTGCCTAAACCAGTTGCATTACTTAATCCATATTCACTTTCAAATAAAAATATTAAGCAAAAATTAATTGAACAAGGTTCTATTGATATGTTAAGATTTGATAATGAAAAATTACGTGAAGAGTTTAAATTGATTCAAGAACAAATTTCAAAAAGTGATAGTGAATATGGAATAAAAAAGTTACTTGAACAAAAAGAAAATCGAAAATTATTAGGTACAAGTGATTTAATTGATGAACAAGAAGAAATGAATCACGAAGAAGAAGAAGAAGAAGAAGAAATTAATGAAGATGATGACATGAATACATTTAATCAACCAGAACCTGTCAAACGACTTGATGAACTTTATAAACAAGCACTTGAACAACAGGTTACATTTTGAACGAACACCCTTGATTGGGATCATTTGTCATCGTTAACAATTCGTCCCATAAGAAATTTTTCGAATTCATCTGTAATTAATTTCTGAAGTGATACTAATAAGATTTTTACTAATTGACTGATCATCTGAGACTTACTTAAATAAGAAACAAAAGTATGAGCAATAGCCCACAAGATTATAGCATGAAAAAAACTTGATTACTTAATAATGTGTTTTATTTTCGTACATAATCTGCACTTGATAGAAACTGCCATATCAGTAAGATTACTATCTGCATATGCTTTAAGATGACATTCAAACTGTGAAGGTTGTGAGTAGAATAGTTAGAGTTCGGTGGTTCTGGTTAATAAAAACTGAGAAAAAAAACTGTTTCGCTTTTGTTCCCAAAATATCAGGTAGAACCGTAACTGCTAAATCTTCAGAAAAATATGAAAATGTTAAATATATTTTGAGAAATTTTTACCAATTCATACTCGCAAACGCATCTATTTTATATTAGTAGAACAATTAAAACGATAATTGAATATTAACTGTAGTTAGTTTAAGGCAAATGTAAAAGAAATGATTTGAGTGATGGAATTTGGCCTGTAGCTTTCAATGGAACGAACTTATTAGAGATGTAAATGGTTCTAGGCCGAGAGCTCGAATTGTTGAACAATCAAAATGCTATTTGTTTTGTTTTTTTTCCTATTAGGCTCAATCAGTTATAAAAGGAAATGTGGTTTCGATTGTTGATGATGATAAAGAACGGGATTATAGAAAAATTCCTCCATCATGGCATGTTTATACTTTTCCACGTAGTAATATGTCAAGATTTGAACCAGCTAAAACGGATGAATTAGGTTTATTGGGTAAAAATCGTTTTGTTTTTGTTTGTATTTTTCAAAAAAAAAATTCAGATTATTTATATTTGTCTTCTGTTTAGTTTAGATTATTACTGTATGGATGGAGCTTGTGTTCTTCCTGTTATTGCACTTGACGTTCAACCATTTCATTCTGTACTTGATTTATGTTCTGCACCAGGTGGAAAAGCTTTAAATATTTTTCACATGTGTCCTTATAGTAAATCAATTCGATTTCTATTTTTTTCTTTTGTAAAATATTTTCTTTCCGAAATAGTTCAATTAACATGTAATGATATTGATAATTCACGTTCGAAACGTTTAGTAGAAGTTTTTACTCAAACAATACCAAAAGATATATTAGCTAAACATATTAAATTTATTAAAGGAGATGGATGTTTATTTGGTGCAAGAGAACCAGCAAGTTTTGATCGAGTACGATATTTAAAGATTATTATATTTGTTCATTATGAATGCTTATCTAGGTACTTGTTGATGTTCCATGTACAAGTGATCGTCATGCTTTACTAACAGCATTTAATATATTCTCAAAAAAACGTATTCACGAACGTGTTGAATTACCTGCATATCAACGAAAATTACTTGAGTATGTTTTCTTTTGTTCAAGATTCAAATAAATTTTAAATAAAAAATATTTCTGATTAAAGATCTGCTATTCGAGCATGTAAACCAGGTGGTATTGTTGTTTATTCAACATGTACATTAGCTCCGGTTCAAAATGAAGGTGTAGTTGAACGAGCTATTGAAAATTTATCATCAACAACATCAAATAAAAGATCTCGCGGATATAAAGAAAACGATTCAATCAAATGTGAAATTATTTCAACACAATCATTAGAAAAACATTATTCTTATTTTTTTGATTTTCATGCTAAAACACGTTATGGTAGTCTTGTTTTACCGCATATTTCAAATAATTTTGGTCCATTATATTTTTGTAAAATTCGAAGGATCAATTAAAAAATAAAATTAAAGTTGCATAAACATTATCAAATAATATATTAGTTTAGTTTTATTGATCTGACATATTCTGTATGAATCAAATAAAAATTCATGTGAAAAGATCAAGTATTTATCAGACAAATATATTATAGTGTGTACAATTCGTTCAATAAAACACTTACTAAAGATTCAGTATCTATTAACATTTGTTTTCTCTACATATTTAATCTAAACTATTTATATAAAGTCTTTGCACCACATGTCTACTCAATTTCTATCTACTCAGAGATCACTAAAGTGATGACTTAAAGTTAGTTTAATGATAACAAATCTTTGATGGCGGCTATAACCGACTTTTGTAGAAAAAAAAACACTAATTTAACCAGTATTGGTAGGTATGTTTATTCTTTGTTTTTAGAGACATTTCATATCATTGAAGAAGTTCAGAAGCAGTTAGCTGGAACCAGTCTTTGATACTTTTTTCGTATGGATGTTCAGAATATTTTAGTGCCTTATAATTGATAAGTGGTAAGCAAATATTTACATACGTCAAAAATGTCGTTTGTACTAAGTAAAGTAGATTTTCATCTATTATTGATAAAATTTTTCAATGAAATTTTAAAATAGTTTTGACTTTCTAGTGCTGAACAACATTTAATTTTCTACTAAATCATATATTACAGTACGCTAGAACCTAACACGAAGTAAACTGTACGTACGTTTTTCTCACAATTATTCTTTACGTTAGACAGCATTTTTCAAAATAACATACTTCTTTCTCATTTTGCTGTTTGGAATGTAATAGATTTCGATCATTCATAGTCGTATCTAAAAAGAGAAACGAATTTAGTATTTTGTAGAACAAGCCACGATCTAAAACTTCATGTATGAAAATAGTACTTCCTTATAGTTTAGTTTGAGATAGTTTATATCAAAATATAAAACTTAACTTCATGAAAAATTTTATATAGGCGTCGTTTTTAACCTTCGTCAAAGGTTTGTTCTCCATGAATTAACTTTAAGTTAGATGAAAATTGTGATTGTAGCTGATTACTTTTGATTTTCTCTTTTAATAGATAATTAGACAAAAATTGATTAGAGATGTTGTACAAAGATGTTTTATACACATCTTATTATTCATAAATTAATTAATAATGAGTGGATGATATATTGTGATAGTGTAAGAGTTTGATGGTTTCATCGGTTGCACAGACTTGATGTTTAAAATTTGTTTGTTAATATTGAATAATATACTATTTCGTACAGACCAAATTCTGATGAATATCGTATTTTACAGGAGGACTACTATTCCAATGATTTTGATTTTCAAAGATAATTTTAATGGAACTCAACGTCAATAATGACAAAAAAATCTCCAAGGAAAAAATGTCCATTATATCAAGGAAACATTTTTTTTTATCCATGTCACAGTTTAACATTAATACACATTAGTCATATAACTAATTACGACAAAAAGCTCTATGTTATCCATACATATAGATATTCATGCAAGCCTTGACTACTATCAGTGTTAACTATAAATGAAAATATGCCATCAATTTTTGACATGCCAGAAAAGAATATGTATACATTTGCTTGTGGATAATGACACTTGATTTTTCCAAACTATACCTTAATAATCGGTTAATAAATCATCTTTGTAGTATGGTACTATAAAATGAGTGATATAATGTTACTTTTTGAACTATGTTTAACCTTCTCTGAAGGCATCGTCCTTGAATATCTTCAAAAAAAACAAACATTTTATAAAATCAACCATTGATAAAGTAGTGTCTCTTCAAAATTATTTTTTATCCTGACCTTTACTTAATAATAGAACTAAAAAATAACCCTTATGGTACTCTTATCTAGTTTTTACATACAGGATAACTAATCGAATCACATATAGATAACATCCTCTAACATTAATTTGCAGGCAATCGGATGAATTCAATCATCATTTTATTGTATTAGATATTGTTAGTATAATAATAATAACAATATTCGTGCAATGTCTATATAGTCATCACACTAATCACAGAATGCAGTAGTAAATCGACCTTCTGTTCAATACGATTTATGCGCGAACCAGTAAAATAGAAAAGAGTCAAATGATGCCAAACAATATTAATATAAGAATATAGATCACTGAAGAATGATTTGTGATATTCAATTCTTTTAAACTTTTCATCAATGTACATATCACCTATTTTGATAGTCTACTGCTCAATAGACATATTGACAAACAAAAATTTACAATCAAAGAATTTGATAGATTATCGTTTACGTTTTTTTTCTGGAATGTAATTAATAATATTATATATAGATTAACAAGTGTATGAAAAATTCATATTATTTATAACTCTATTAGTTACATATA